CCCCTGCTTGTGTTCCCTCTCTCTCTGTGTCTCTGTCAAATAAATAAATAAATTAAAAAAAAAACCCATCTGAATCTTTGTTATTTTTTTTTAAAGATTTTATTTATTTGACAGGGAGAGAGCGAGAAAGCATAAGCAGGGGGGAGGACCAAGGGGAGAAGGAGAAGCAGGCTCCCCACCGATCAGGGAGCCCAATGCAGGACTCCATCCCAGGACCCCGGGATCATGACCTGAGCCGAAGGCAGGTGCTTAACCAACTGAGCCACCCAGGCACCCTTTATTTTTATTTTTTAAAGTAATCTCTACACCCAACATGGGGCTCGAACTTACAACCTTGAGATCAAGAGTCACATGTTCCACCGACTGAGCCAGCCAGGCACCCCTGCAAGCTGAACTATGTGCTTTTTCCATACAACATCATTTTTACTTGAAAACAAGGCTGACAAATTGAGATTATTCGTATTTGGGTATTTGGCAGATATTTTCTAAAAAACGAATCAGGTTTGGGGACACCTGGGTGGTATTGTTGGTTAAGTGTCCGACTTCTTTTTTTTTTTTTTTTAAAGATTTTATTTATTTATTTGACAGAGACAGAGACAGCGAGAGCAGGAACACAAGCAGGGGGAGTGGGAGAGGGAGAAGCAGGCTTCCTGCTGAGCCGGGAGCCCGATGTGGGACTCGATCCCAGGACCCTGGGATCATGACCTGAGCCGAAGGCAGTCGCTTAACCAACTGAGCCACCCAGGCGCCCTAAGTGTCCGACTTCTGGTTCAGGTCAGGATCTCGGGGTAGTGAGACAGAGCTCCACTGTCAGGCTCCATGCTCAGCATGGAGTCTGCCTGGGAGTCTCTTTCCCTCTGCCCCTCCCACTCATGCTCTCTCTCTAAAATAAATAAATCTTAAAAAAAAAAAAAAAAAGAAACCAAAACAAAATATGAGTAAGTTTGGGAAAAAACTGATGGTCTTCGTTGGCAATGGTGAAATTCAAGCTAATTAAAAACAGAATTTGGAAAGCTTGTATCTGTCACTGTGTCCTTGCAGCCTCTTCATACTTAAAGACTTGTGACAAAGGTCATGGTGATATCAGTGTGATTTTTTAGATATTATGGGCCAAAATGTGTCAACATTTGGAAGATTTGTATAACTCAGTGTACCAATATTTTCCAAATGATCAGTGTGTAGTGTTACAAAAGCATGCATAAAAGTTGTATTCAAAATACAAGGTCAACCAATGGACTTTAGAAAAGTTTACCAATCTGATTTCAGACTCCACATTGCAACTAATCTTTAAGGAACTTGTATAGTATCAAAGAAGAATACCTATAATTATCAGGAAGGCTATTAAAATACTCCTCTCTTTTTCAACTTCACACTTAAGTGAGGCTAGGTTTTCTTCACATATTTCAACCAAAACAACATATGACAACAGATTGAATGCAGAAGCAGATAATGAGAATCCACTGTCTTCTATTAAGCCAGGCATCAAAAAGATTTGCAGAAATGTAAAACAACGTCATTAATTTTTGTTTTGAAAAATAATACTTTTAAAATAAAAACATGCTATTTGTGTCAACGTGTCAGGAGTTCATTATTTTAAAATGAATTAATACATATTTAAGAAATCTAATTCCTACTATAGTAAAAGAGTATTTATAGACGCTCTTCGGGGTCCTCAATAATTTTTAAAGAGTTAAGTGGTCCTGAGACCAAAATTTGAGAACTGCAAGAAACAGGAGCCTAGAGGGCTCCTGGGTGGCTCAGTCGTTAAGCGTCTGCCTTTGGCTCAGGTCATGATCCCAGGATCCTGGGATCGAGCCCCGCATCGGGCTCCCTGCTCAGCGGGAAGGAAGCCTGCTTCTCCCTCTCCCACTTCCCCTGCTTGTGTTCCCTCTCTCTCTGTGTCTCTGTCAAATAAATAAATAAAATCTTTAAAAAAAAAAAAAAGAAACAGGAGCCTAGAGAGGTTGAATGGCTGGGCAAGGTTGCATAACTAGAGAATGGTAAAGAGGGAATTAAATTCAGGTTTGTCTAAACCACACAAGCTCTTTCTACCAAGTACACAGTCTTAGAGAAGATGACTCAGATGTACACTGTTGCAGGACTTATATGTGCAACTGTTACACAGCTGTCTCATCTTACTATGCACCTGGTTATTTCTCATGGTACAACATAACTCCCTCAAAATAAGAAAAAAGGTGTCCTTAAGGCAGTATTTTTAGGGTTGGTTATGCTTAAAAAACCAGTAGCAAGGAATGTGATGTTACAGAGTTCTGGTTCTTCAGAGAAGGGAATCCTGGAGCAGCTGTATAGATGCATTGTTTTATTCAAGCAAAGCCCAAGAGCATAAAGCAATCCCATCAGACTCATCATCTGACAAATCTCTTTCCAACAAGGAGAAATTGTTCATAAGACAGAGCTCTCTTGAAGCTAATAATAACTATTGATGTTATAGCTGGCACTTGCTTACCTTTGTTTTTAAAACTTGCAACACAGGATAAATCTAAATTCCCTAGGAAAGTGGGGAGATAGGATGTGAAATAAACTTAGCATCCGGTTTACAATCAGATTGTGCATTTCAAAATCCTGGCTGTGTTGTTTTCAACTTTATCATTAAGTAGTTCCTTAATTTTTGAGAAAAGACTTAATTTAAAATTTTACCTCACTTCAATATGATAAGGGATCTAAAACAAGTGACATTTCCCTGGATTTCAGAATAAGCATTTTGTTTTTTTTCCCCAAGAGGCAAGACTGAAGCCGAGTGAGGCCCCAAATGACTAGGTCTTTGAGATAACAATACAGGATTGTTTGACTTTTAAGGACTGGGGGTCTTTAGTATTTGTAGCCTAGAAAATATTCTCTGGATTTTACGTGTCTTCTGGAACTCTCATTTCCAGGATAAAAGACAACATTTTGGTTGGAATTAGGCTTTACATAGTCAATAGTGAATTACATTTATCCCACAGGGGATAAATGGACATAAACTGCATTTCCCCACCTATTAAAGGGAAGCTCTAAAAATTCTCTCCACTGAGAAAGGGTAGGCAGACTTGGATACCCATTCTCACCAGAAGAGCCCTGCCAGCAAGAATTTTCTTGCTCCAGAGTACACCCACAGATGGGGAGATTGGGTTCAAGGACATACTTTAGAGAGAAGCTCCACCTAACGGCAAACCACTTTTCTGTAGCAGTGAAGAACGTTCATACTCACCTTGGTCTACTGAGTATCACAGATTAGAACTGGAAGGGAAGCAGATTTTATTTTCAAACAGAAACAACTATAGGATTGCATTGCTTAGACCACCAAGAAAAATAGGCAGGGATTGAGGACTGATACTTGGTACTTATAAATTACACATCAAAAGAATGTCAAGGCAAAAGTGAAGATAAAGTAGAAAAGAACACTTTCATTAATCAAGGCCTTGTTCCCGTTTCATAATTATTAACTAATTATAAGCTTTTATTTATGTCACAGAATGTATAAGAAAATTACAATAGCTTTGGTGTTCACTTTTCTATATTTGAGGTTGGCCTAAGATCAATATTTTCAATTACTTCCACATGAGTGTTATTCAGGGATTAATAATAATAATTATTATTATTTTATTATTTCTTTAAAGATTTTATTTTTAAGTAATCTCTAGACCCAATGTGGGGCTCGAACTTACAACCCTAAGATCAAGAGTTGTATGCTCTACCTACTGAGCCGGCAAAGCACCCCAATAATTATTTTTAAAAATAGAATCATAAATAGAATACTGATTAATTACTGTTTTTCTTATACTATAGATATCAATTTTATTTAATCTTAGACTATAAGATACATAGGTATACCTATATCTGTTTACAGAGAAATAATACCATTATCTTACATTTGTGTAATGCTTTATAGTTTTTCAAAGCATTTTCACTCACTATTCCTTCCACATACATCATTTCCTCTGGTTCTGGGCAAGCAGTGTTCCCATTTCATATAAGCAGGAAAGGAGGCTTATGTAACTTGCTCAAGGTGAAACACTAAGATTTTGTGACTTTGATTTTGGTGATTTTTTTTTTTTTTTTTGCATTATATCATGATGCTTCTCGTTGTATTATACTGATAGTTGAGATGTCACTATTTAGCTTAATTTACAGGACTCTCTTGATGATGCTGGTTGAACTAACCCCCCATCAACTGACTAGTCTAAAGGGGCAAGCATTTCCCCACATTTCACATGGTCTGATTACCTCTGTCTCAAGTGAACGATCTACTATCCAGGTATGAAAAACATGATGAGAAAACATTAAGCTATTATATTACTCAGACAAAGGGCCATTTTCACACCTCTCCAGGTAACAGAAACTGCCAAAAAAATCCCAAACAAAAAATCCTAGTAATGCCTGTTATCAAGTCAAAATTGGATACCTTCTGTTTCTTTGTTGTGGTGAAGAATGTTGTCTGGATTCCTTCCACCTAAAGACCTGCTTATTAGACCTGTGGCAGAACTCTGCATCTGATTTCAGCCTTGGGGAAGCAAAGCAGACAAAACTCAAAAGCTCAATTTTCTGGATGGTATGGCTGATTCAACGAGCTCTTTTCTGCTTCTGAGTCTGCTGGCCAGGAGACCTGGATATGATAGGGCTTCAGTTCCTCAGGAGGGAGAGAATCTGGGGCACTGCTCATGAGGTCGTGCCCCCTGAAGGATTTGGGGAAGGCTATGACATCTCTGATGCTTGGTGCTCCAGTGACAAGGCATATCAGTCTGTCTAACCCTGGAAATAAAATACAAAGGTAACAGATGAGAATGTAATCTAAGGCTGGGAGTGACTAAGATTTTCCACAAAGGTTGTAGAGAACTTCTAAGTAAGAATCTTTAACAAGTTGCAGCCAAGCAGAGTTCCCTGCCTTTTTTAGGGAACTTATGTTTGTTTGAAAGGTTCTTTTCTGTCTTATTCTAGAAAAATGCTGAGGATGAATATTCACATGCTCAAATTAAGTCACAGCAAATAATGAGTCCTTAGCAAGGGTTTTCTAAAGGTTGACAAAAATCAGGTGCTGTGCAGGGCACTCCCAAGAACACAGATGGACGTCCTTGCTGTCGAGGGCCTACAATCTAGGTGAGCTTCCGAGAATTTCTCACACTCCTCCTTGCTTGATAAAACAAGCAAGGTGAGCAACCATGGCGGAAGGGCACCGGCATATTCCTACTCTCACACAAGCTGAATACTATGGAGCAGTGTCTCTCAGATACCTATGAATGTGTCCGTGAGCCCCCAGGGATTTGAGCAATACTGACTTAAGACTGAAGTTTTATTCTATTAAGAAATCTTTCAAATGCAAATTATCAGTCAAGTTTTACCTTTAACTGGTAAAGTACATTTTAAACATATATCAACGAAATGAAAATACGAACTTAAATTCTTACAGAATTCTTAGGCTCACACCCTATCCTTTTTACCCCCACCCGTTCCTCCTCTGCCCTTGCCTGGAAACTGAGCCCAAATCTGAGACATACGGATGGTTATGGAATGAAATTTAGCTTGTCAAAGGATAGTTGTTTACCTAAGGCAATTCCTCCATGAGGGGGCGCCCCAAAACCTAAGGCCTGGAGCAAATGGGACAGCAATTTCACATCTTCCTGAAATTCAAAACAGAATTCCATTTGAATACACACTGAGGGTCCACAGTAAGCTTAGGTGATAAAGGAAAAAAACAGGTGAGTTAAAAAAATACCTTAAGAAGTTTACAGTTTAGCAAGAGAGTAGGACTAGTCACAGATATTAAAACATGCAGAGAAAGTCCTGGCACTCAGTAAATGCAGCCAGTATTATACTGGGAATGGGAAGAGGGTAACGCCAATCAAGAACATGAAGATGTGGGCTCCGAAAGGTGGGATGAAGAGCAGGGAACTGTCCTATCACAGGGCCAAGGGAAGAGAACATTATTAAGAGAGGAACAGTGTCAAACGCTGCTGGTAGGTGGGACAGCTTAGGGGCCAAGAACAGGCCACTGGATCTGGTGGCTATGCAAGTTAACTTATGTGGGGCAATGTGTGTAGAAATGTTGAAAGTGTATCTGACAGTGGTTCTCTCACCAGGCTACAGATCCAAAACAAGTGGGGAGCTTTTAAGGAAGGAATGCTAAAGCCTCACACAGAGCCTTTTATTTAATTGATCTGGTGTGGAGTAGTGGGGTGATTTTTTTTGTTTTTAACACTTTCCACTTGATTCTGTTCCAATGTGCAGCAGGGCTGAGAACCAATGGGGGCAGGGAAGAAGCAGAAGCAATGAATTCTCACTGACTCATTTAAGAAGCTTAACAATGAAAGGAAGGAAGAAATTCGGCTGGGAAACTGATGACTGGATGCCTTGAGTTGGGAGGAGAAACGTTAAGGGAGGTCACAATGTCTGCAAGGCTAACGGGGCGTCTAGGGTTTTGAGTTCTCCAATCCTGTCTTCAAATAAAATTCTTCCATCCTACTTCACCCCTGTTAGTTAATCCCACAAAATGATCTCTTGGGATCAGACTCTTAGACATTTGCTTTCCTGAAATCTATCCTGGCCTTCTATGGAATCATCAAGAAACTGCAGGTTTTTAGGCCTGCATCTGTAGAGACTCTTCTTTTAAAAATCCTGATTATGCCACTTTCTATCACTAAAATACCTCCCTGCCCGTATTAAATGATACAAAATTCTTTCAAGCCAGGCTCTTTCTCTAGCATTATCAACATTTCCATGCATTTCTGACCGCATCATTTTTTTGTGCAGTGTGGTGGTTCAGAGCTTAGGAGCTTGGGCTCAAAGTGCCACCCTGCCTGGATTCCAACAGTGGCTCAGTTTACTTCTGTGCTGTGTAACTCTGGGCAGATTAATTAATCTGCATCAGTCATTCATCTTTAAAATGGGCAGAACAGGGGTATTTATCTCAAAAAGTAATTGTGAGGATTAAATGTGTCTGTGCATATAAAGTACTTAGTGCCTGGCACATATGATCAGTACTAATGAACGGCTCTTATTACTTTTCAAAGTTTTACACTAAAGGTACAGAGACAAGCCAACACTGTTCTGTATCTAGTGAATCCTTCATTCATACCAATTAAAAAAAAAAAACAACCCCACATACATTCTGGAAGGCAGCTATGCTTACCACTATATCATCAATGCTGGCTAAAACAACAAATATTCTGGTTAAAAAAAAACACAACAGGTTAGAAGATGATGTTACCTTCAGTAATGTTGCCAGAATGTAACGCTGGAGCTCTGCATCATGAATTCGGATAGAACCACCGCCTATCTCACTGCCATTTAAAACCAAGTCATAGTGTTGGCTACGGACCTAGAAGATTCCCAGAGCCTTTATGTTAGAGAAAATTTCTAGTTTTCTGTTCTTCTACAGGTTGAAGACAGCGAAGTTACTTAGAGACAATGTATTCACTATGGGCTCAAACCCGACCATCTCTTCTGAGGCTTCCAGAACTGGGTCAGACTGTGAAATCGAAACATCTTTGCCTGTGTTTCCACATTTCCCTTTTATTTGGAAGTACAGATACGGTACCTTCTTGGGTTCAGTGTATAGGAGCTGGAGGTCACTGGGGTGGGGAGCAGTGAATGGGTGGTGGGCTGACTCCAGCTCTCCGGGATTTTCCTCCTTGGGAAGGAAGAGTGGGAAATCCACAACCCAAAGGAAAGAGAACAGAGCTGGGTCACGGAGCACCAATCCTCTTGCTTCTAGAAGGTCGGCACATTCCAGTCGTAATTTTCCCAGCACAGAGCACTGCAAAGAGAAGATACAAATGTTGACTTAACCACTGTGACAGAGTAGGCAGAAAATGACATAAGCTGGACTCTACAGCCAGGCCATCCTCTGAGAAGGGATTAGACAATTAATAGATGAGACACTCTGAGCCTCTCAGGAGACAGAGCTGAGGATGATCGGATTGAAACATGGTTGAGAAGGATGCTCACACTCGGCAGGCAGATCGGGTGAGGATTTGATGACACGGTGACTGAGGGCACAGACTCCCGAGCCTGACTGACCTGGGTGTATCTCAGTTTGGCTACTGACTCACTTCTCTGCACCTTTTCCTAGGGGACAATGGAGATCAACCGATCTACTCCAAAAAGCTGTTGTGAACATCAAGTGAGACTCGGCATGTGAGGTGCCATATCCATGGCGGCTATTCTGTGAATATTTTCCTGACTGCTCCTGCAGGGTATGGTGAGGCTCTGAGCAGTGCCTGGCCCACAGCTGATGGCCCGTAAAAGTTGGCTATGATTAGAGGGGCAGTACGGGTAAGAGGTCTGTTTGAGAGTGTGAGTTTTGAAACCAGACTTCATAGATTAGAACCCTGGCTCCCCTACTGCCTAGCTGCGTGTGAGCAAATTTCTCATCTCCATGCCTCAGTTCTCCTTTTTTGATAAATATTTTATTTATTTATTTGAGAAAGAGAGCAGAGAGCACAAGTGGGGAGTGGGGGAAAGGGGCAGAGGAAGGGGGAGAAGCAGGCTTCCCGCTGAGCAGGGTGTCCAATGTGGGGCTCGATCCCAGCACCCCGAGATCATGACTTGAGCTGAAGGCAGACGCTTAATCGACTGAGCCACCCAGGCGCCCCCATGCCTCCGTTTTCTTATCTTAGAATGGTAACTTCTCTCCGATAAGGTTGTCATGAGGGTTAAATGAGTTAATATACACAAAGTACACAGAACAGTGCTGAGCAAACAGAAGCGCTAAGTGCTAACTATGATATGCAGAGCTTCCCTGAGAAAGGAAACCATGCCTGGAAACATGCATAGGGTGTCACTTTATGGCCTATTCTAGCTTATGTTAAATATGCACCCAGGGTACTTGCACTGTGACATATTCAGAATCTAAAGCTATTCCTCCTAAGTCTGGTTTCTAGTTGTCTCAAGGAGTCCCAGTAGGAATTGGAACAGTACCTTCCTGAGAGTGGAATGACCAAATGAGTTTGCAACAGCATACTTATATAATACAAAATCCCAAGTTCTTTTGTAAGAAACTCATTGACAGTAAAATTTGTAATTAACTGGTGCATTCCCCAGCAAATTTATCAGGGCTGTTCGTGGCTGGTATTAAAAAATAATGTCGATAAATGAATTCATTATAAACATGACTGTGGTATCAAAACAAATTTGTAATTAAATAGCTTTCTTCACTCCACTATTGCAGGAGAAGGGAAAGACAGTGGGTTACATTTATTTATTTATTCAAAAAAAGTCTTTTAAAATTTATATAAAATTTATATATTTGCTTATTTAAAGTAATCGCTACACCCAACGTAGGGCTCGAACTCATGACCCCAAGATCAAGAGTTGCATGCTCTTTCGACTGAGCCAGCCAGGTGCCGGGTAGTGGGTTACATTTAGCACTGAAACTGACCTCTGAAGCTTTTCCTCTGGAACAAACAATGATATGTACAGAACAAATACAAATTAAAAGAATGGACTTGATAAAGTACTAACCAGATACCACTGCTATAAAGAAATCATATTATACTTTAGTGCGAGAATGAATTTATATCACACTTGACCTTTCCAATATATTTTCAATATTCATGTTTGACTTATATTCCATACTTCTGTACATTTTACAATGATCTTTATGGCTAAGTCCACTCCACAGATCACCAGGCATGGTGGAGCTCATCACCTCCCAGCTGCTGCTCCTGAGGAGGAAGGGTCCTGCCTTGACCAAGGAGGGCCAGAGATGTCTGCCAGCCCAGTAGCCTTCCAACAGTCTGATCTCTCCATCCACAGTTTTAGGAATGCATTATCTACAAAAGTTTGGGATTACCAAAATATCCTAATCTGCAAAACCTGGAAAATGAAAATATTTTTTCACAGCCCTACAAGAAATACCAATGGCCCTTTACCTGAGTGACTTTCCTAATCAGAGCCAGATCTAATCTGTGTGAACAATGCCAATCCTCACAATTATCACTGTGTGAGCAGTGCCGATGGAGGCTGGGAGCTGATGAAGAAAACTCTAGTTCTGATACAGTGCATTGTTTGTAAGTGCTGAAAGGTATTTATTAATAGAAAACTCATGTAGAGCAGCCCCAACATTTTATGAAATTAAGTCAGTTTTAAATATGTACTATGTACGTAGGAGAAGAGATGCACCATGCAGCATCAACAGCACAGATGTTCACAGGTAGTGTTTCTTACTGCTTTCTCGTGCTCCCCGGCAGCTAGCAGGACCACATCAGCCTCTTGGATTTCCATGAGTCTGATTAGTCCTGATCTTTGCTCCTCCAGTATGGACTGAGCAACTGGAGTATTCCAGTTTCTATCGGCTTTCGGGAATACAGGTAAGACTTCCTGTGATAAAGAAAAAGACTTTAGTCACATTTTCTTAAAAAGTGGGGGTGATTTATTTTTCTTGTCGTAGAAAGATTTCTTGTTCCCAATAGAACACGGGATGATCTTCATTCCCTCCCTCGACCCCTTCAAAATGATACTAGAGGAATTACAAAAGTAATCTCACTATAATCAAAAACAAAAGGGAATAAAAGGTGGGAGACACCAGCAAAGAGGTTTCTGTAAATTTGTGGCAGGCTGCAAATGAATGGAATAGAACGATTATAGCAGCAAGATGCAGGAAGTTCTGGCCTGGAAAAAAATGGAGTAGTCTCACCACAGAAGGAACTGATTTTACCCTGCAGAAGCCTAGAGAGTAGGCTCAGGACTCTTAAGAAGCTTTGGTTTCACAGGGTAATGGCCAATGGCTCTGCTGCTCACCCTAAACTGAACCTACCCATTCACAAAGCCCCTGCAAGCACCCTGTGTTCCCAACCAGCTTAAAAAAATGTTTTTTTTCTTTAACTAAGCTCTACACCCAGTGTGGGGGTTGAACTCAGGACCCCTGAGATCAAGAGAGATCAAGAGTCGCATGCTCTCCCATTCTGTGGGTTGCCTCTTTGTTTTGTTGACTGTTTCCTTTGCTGTGCAGAAGCTTTTTATCTTGATGAAGTCCCAAAAGTTCATTTTTGCTTTTGTTTCACTAGCTTTTGGAGATGTATCTTGAAAGAAGTTGCTGTGGGCGATGTCAAAGAGGTTACTATCTATGTTCTCCTCTAGGATTTTGATGGATTCCTGTTTCACACTGAGATAAAGGGCTGGTATCCAAGATCTATAAAGAACTTCTCAAACTCAACACCCAAAAAACAAATAATCAAGTCAGAAAGTGGGCAGAAGATATGAAAAGACACTTCTCTGAAGAAGACATACAAATGGCTAACAGACACATGAAAAAATGTTCATCATTAGCCATCAGGGAAATCCAAATCAAAACCACATTGAGATACCACCTTACACCAGTTAGAATGGCAAAAATGGACAGGGAAAGAAACAACAAATGTTGGAGAGGTTGTGGAGAAAGGGGAACCCTCTTACACTGTTGGTGGGAATGCAACTTGGTACAGCCACTTTGGAAAACGGTGTGGAGGTCCCTCAAAAATTTAAAAATAGAGCTACCCTATGACCCAGCAATTGCACTACTGGATATTTACCCCAAAGACACAGATGTAGTGAAAAGAAGGGCCATATGCACCCCAATGTTCATAGCAGCAATGTCCGCAATAGCCAAACTGTGGAAAGAACCGAGATGCCCTTCAACAGATGAATGGATAAAGAATATGTGGTCCATATATACAATGGAATATTACTCAGCCATCGGAAAGGATGAATACCCAACTTTTACATCAACATGGATGGGACTGGAGGAGATTATGCTAAGTGAAATAAGTCAAGCAGAGAAAGTCAATTATCGTATGGTTTCACTTATTTGTGGAACATAAGGAATAGCATGGAGGACATTAGGAGAAGGAAGCAAAAAATGGCGGGGGGGAATTGGAGGGAGAGATGAACCATGAGAGACTATGGACTCTGAGTAACAAACAGGGTTTTAGAGGGGAGGGGGGAGGGAGGATTGGTTAGCCCGGTGATGGGTATTAAGGAGGGCATGTACTGCATGGAGCACTGGGTGTTATATGAAAACAATGGATCGTGGATCACCACATCAAAAACCAATGATGTATTGTATGGTGACTAACATAACATAATAAAATTAAAAAAAAAAAAAAAAGAGTCACATGCTCTACCAAGTGAACGAGTCAGGCTCCACCCCCAATCAGCTTTTTAGATGCTTCATTCTGGGAGGTGGGTGGAGGACGGGTGAAACAGGTGATGGGGATGAAGAGTACCGGGCATTGTAAGGAAGTGCTGACTCACTAAATTGTAAACCTGAAACTAATATTAAATTGTATGTTAACTAACTGGAATTTAAATAAAAACTTAAAAAAAATGCCTCCTTCTAAATATATACAATCAACAGTCACCATTCATCAAAGAAATTCTGCAGTATTTAAAAAAAAAAAAAAAAAAAAAGGACCCAAAAGGAAAGAGGTAGTTTAGGGACCAAAGGAGGACTGAATCCTCAAAGGCCCTCAAAAATATATTTTATCAATAAAATGAGAATAAAATATGATGGAAAAAACCAAGAAACAGCTATTGGGACATAAACATGACTGCTAAAAAGAATTCAACAGAAGAGTTGAAGAAATCTCTTAGAAAGAATAAAAAGGATGAAGAAGGGGTGCCTGGGTGGCTCAGTTAGTTGGGCGACTGCCTTCGGCTCAGGTCATGATCCTAGGGTCCTGGGATCGAGCCCCGCATCGGGCTCCCTGCTCGGTGGAGAGCCTGCTTCTCCCTCTCCCTGCCACTCTGCCTACTTGTGCTCTCTATCTCTATTAAATGAATAAATAAAAAATCTTAAAAAAAAAAAAAAAAAGAACGAAGAAAATGGTGGGAAAGAACATGGGGAAAAAAAGAGACAAGTTAAGTTACAATAGGAGGTCCAAATAGGACTAAAAGAAATTCCAAAAAAAGAGACTAGAGAAAATGATGAAGTAAAAACAATTAGTAATAGAACAACTTTCCACAGATGAAAGACATGAGCCATCATATTGAAAGGGCCCTTCTAGTGTACAACACACGAATGTAAAACAACCTAAAGGTACATAAACTGAAATTTTGGAACATCAAGAATCAGGAGGCTGAATGCTTCCAAAGGAAAACAATCAGGTTTGCTGTAAAGGAATAAATTTGTATCAGCATCAGGCTTCTCAGCAGTAACAGCAGGTACCACGGAAAAAAACAATGCCTTCAACAAGCTAAGGCTGTGCTGTCTAATATAGTAGCCACCACTCACACGTACCTATTTAAATTAACTGAAGTGAAACAAAATTAAAAATTCAGCTCCTCAGGTATACTAGCCGCATTTCAAGCACTGGATGGCTACACTGGCTAGTGGTTACCATACTGGACGATGCAGATGCAAAACATTCCCACCATCACAGAAAGTTCTCTTGGACAGCACTGTTCTTTCTCTATTTTCCTTCCTTCCTTCCTTCCCTTCCTCCCTCCCTTTTCTTTCTTCCCTTTCTTTCTTTTCTCTCTCTTTCCTTTCTTTCCTTCCTTCCTCTCTCTCTCCCTTCCTTTCTTTAAAGATTTATTTATTTTAGAGAGAGAGAGAGAGAGCTTGCATTCCGAATTTTATACTAAGCTAAATTAGTGATCAAGTGTGAGGTTTTGAACATAAAGACATTTTTAGACAAAGCAAGTGTATCTCTTGCACGCTTTCTTAGGAAGTTACTTGAGGATATACTCCAACACAAATAAGACAGAGGAAGATCTGGGATCCAGGAAGAGTTGTTTCAACTCAGAAGAGGAATGGAGAAAAGGTCCAGAAAGACAGCTGTGCAGGAGGGACAGAGTAACTAAGTAAGGCCTGTGTGTGGGAGCTTCATCTATCGTGCAGGAAGTTAAGAGATAAAATTTAAAATGGATAAGTAAAAACAAAAACAAACAAAAACACTAGTATGTAGATATATTTCTAAGAACGGAGACGTTCTGGCTGCTGTGGGACTGGTGTGATGTGAGCTGGAACACACACTTGTTGCTTATCATTAGTAATCCTTTACTATTTGTGTTTTTAACCCTGCGCATGTAGCATATTGCTAAAAATTCACATACATATTAAAAAAAAAAGCCAAGTTAAAATATATTAATAAATTGAAAAAACAGAAGTAGTGCCCATTTCTTCTATAAAAATCCAGTTAATGAGAAAGGGTAAAAAAAGAAAAGAGGAAAAGAGATGAGGAAAAGAAGAACATGTAGTAAGAGTTCCATCAACTGAAGGCTACTGAAGTTATTAACCTTTGGGCTTATTTCCTGGTCCTGTCGATCCTAGATGCAGACTTCAAACACTAGCAACATGAAAGTAAAGAAACAAAATTGGGAGATCTAGAGTTTCCACTTTTGAATTTTATCAAAGGCATAAAACAAACCTAAAACATTATCTGCTATTACCATCCTTTCATAAAAGAACATACATTTTTACAACAAAGAACAAGGAGAAGTAAAGGATAATTCTTTAAATTCATTTAGCTTTATGAAAAGCTTTTTATACTGCTCTGACTTTTCTCATTTTGCCTTGACCCATTTGGAAACCATTATCCTAATCTTTCTTTCTTTCTTGTTGAAAAATCCCTTTGAGCCTGAGGTATGAGGCTTGGCTTGTGGTGGCAGCAGAGGTGGTCCATTTTCAGTCCACAAATACTGTGTTTTTACCTGGTTATGATCAGTGTTTATAGAATTCTGTATTTGCCTTTTCTTACGAATCATTACAACATGAACATGTCCCCCATACTATAAACTCTTTGGAGACAAAGTTTTAAAAAGGAACTTTAATATTAATTCCTTTGATTATACCTTAATTTATTTAATCATTCCCATATAATTTCATCTTATCCCTGTTGTAAAGGATACTATAATAAGCATACTCTCCTCACATTTAGAATGTTTTCTACAAAGCATGTCATGGAAAATTAATGACTCAGAGGGCATGATTATTTTTAAAGTTACTGATTCCGAGAAGGCTGAGGCAATTTCCAGGTCCAGTGACAAGATAAGAAGGCCTGTTTCCCACTCCTGCTCCTTTGTAGTTCAGTTCCTCCATTCACCAAGCCAACAACACAAAATGTGTTTGTCAAAGGTGGATTCAGAATTTTAAAAAGGATATGGGAAGAACAATGAATACAGGCTTTCTTTCAAAACTTGGGCACATGGGGCTCTAATCTAATCCTAACTGGATTAAAACTCCACATTTATTTTATTTATTTTTTAAAGATTTTTATTTATTTGAGAGAGAGAGCAAGAGAGTGAGAGAGCCACAAGTGGGTGGAGGAGCAAAGGGAGAAGCAGACTTCCCAGTGAGCAGGGAGCCTGACATGGGGCTTGATCATGATGTGCGCCGAAGGCAGATGCTTAACCATTTAACCAACTGAGCCACCCAGGCATCTCTTCACACTTATTTTAAAAACTATGGTTGAACTTCCACATTCTGATTAATGGTGAATTCAACTGTCTAAGTCAAAGTCCTAGAGTCATGCCCTGGGATTAGATGAACTTTAAAAAGAAGAAAAGTAGAAAAATGGTCTGAAATAACAAGACCTCAAAAGTAGTGATTGTATAAAGAGCTCCAACACTTACTAAAAATATGGAATCCCTAAAAGGGAAAAAAAAACCTATTGTAATTAACTCCTTACCTGATTAAAATGGTCAGCTGCAAATTTTCTAATGGATTCAATGTCCTTCCTTTTTAAGTATTTCTGAAAAGAAAAGTAAACTCAGCTTTATAAACATGTCTATGGTATCAAATAGGATACAAATACATTTTGTGTCCTTCCATCACAAGAGGATTCAATGTAAAATTTAATTTCTGCTTCCAAATGACAACACTTTAGAGCTTGTCACAGGGCTTATTACCCTCCCCCCTTAATTACACAAGTCTCATTGGAAACGGCTATGAATGTATTCCACAGAAGAGCCTGCATATGGAACACGTGGGGTACATGTTCAAATCTTTACAACTGAACTGTGTAAGAAAAAATAACTTTCAGATCAGAAAGAGGACTCAGAATTTGCTTATTTCAGGTGCTTAAAATTCTTTGTATCTTACTCTTTCTAAATTATCTCAATGCCTTTGTAAGTGAGACATGAGGACTATCATCATAACTAATATTCTCAGGGCACTAGACTAGGTATGGGAGATACAAAAAGGTGGAGACACGGTTCACAATCCTTCACTTCTTATAATCTGCTCGGGGAAGACTGGACATACTCAAATTGAGGCGAGCAATAATACCAAGCAGTATATGTGACACTGAGCTTACCTGCACGCATTCATCATGTCTGGACTAGAGTATGGACACGAATTACTTTCCACTAAACATGTGAAGTGAATAAAAAGTAATGAGAATGAATTCTTATTCCCATTTTGAATACACTAATATGCTCAAATGAGTCGCCTTTCAAAATAGTAATTTTGTTCAAAGTCCTTCTGGAACTCTTCTCAAATTCTGTTCTAAGCAGGTGTGGTAACTATGGAAAACAGACGTGTTTCACCATCTCAGAGTCAGGGGTTGCCTAGCCTGGCCATTCTTTCTCCTACCCTAACGTCCCCTCCCTTTTGCTTTTCACAGCTCCACCTCCTGGCCCTCCCACTGTTATTAATGCAATTGAATGCAACTGAGACCAGGGATCTCTGAAGACCCAGAACCAACATGCAAGGGTGATGCTGGAGCTGATATGGGCTGGGAGCCTTTGGATAAACTGAGGCTGGAGGACATATGAACACTATTTCATGCTCATCACTGGTGGGAATGATGCCAAATGAAGTAGAGGAGTACTTTACAGAATTTTTTAAAAGAAAGACAAAAACTCTAGATCTTGAGTGTAAATTCACACTCACAGGGTTTTATTCTCTACTTATAGTTTCAGGGACACTGTTTTAAAAATATATATTCTTTTTCTTTCTTTTTTTAGAGAGAGGGGAGGGGTAGAAGGAGAGAGAGAGAGAGAATCTCAAGCAGGCTCCACGCTCAGTGCAGAGCCTGATGTGGGGCTCAATCTCAGGACCCTAAGATCATGACCTGACCCGAAATCAGGAGTTGGACACTTAACTGACTGAGCCACCCAGGCACCCCTAAAAATATATATATATATATTTTAAAGATTTTATTTATTTGCGAGAGAGAGAATGAGAGACAGAGAGCATGAGAGGGAGGAGGGTCAGAGGGAG